GCAACTGCTTTTTCACATGGGGGTTAAAATACTGGGTTGTGAGTCAAATTAGACTAAACCATTCTGACTTTGGCTGCTGTTTCTTTCTAATTTATTCTGACCTTCCCTTTTTTGGCACCAAGAAAGGCTCTAGTATCTTGTCTTCTGGCTGTGAGAACACAGCATATGGTTTGCTTGAAGGTTTTTGTTCACCACTTGCCCATTAACCTGACAGTAGGAAGTGCTAAGGGGCAGAAAACAGGAGTCACAGTGTGACTCTCACCCCAAGTACAAAAATACACTTGCCCCTCCAAAGACGTACTTGAAGTTGATCTTTAAATTCAAGAAAATCAGACGTGAAGGTTGCTACTGACACTCTACCCTTATGGTTTTGAAAGATTTTTTCATTAAGCTACTTCATCATTAATTAATCAGATATGATTATTTCCCCCACAGAAAAAAGAGTAAAAGAAAGAAAAACACAACAAACAGAAGCTTAAAACAAGTATTTATGTTCTGCCTAGGTTCTAGGAAGAGTGTTTTGGTCGTGTGATTAAACCCTAAGTGACCCTTCACTGGCCTTTAGCTAAGTAATTCCCAAGCAACTCTGTCCTGCCTCCTTCCACACCTCATACCTCTTGGAAGGAATTTATCAACAACCAATGTTTCTATCAAAAATTTGTGGAAAATAATTGTACTATGTAGCTGAATAATCTCCAGATAATGACTAATTTAGTCACAGAGAGTCTTTGTAAACCAGTGAGAAATCATGATAACTAAAGCTCGTAAGGGTGTCCAAGATTCTATATAAGTATCTATCCAGCAATCAACTACTCAGATTTTAACGTGGCCTCCTTCATTTCAACCCTATCAAATTCCCTTTGCTATCTTCCCTCTCTGGGCATGTTGAGTTGTGAAAGAAAGCCTGCACGTGTTAGAGAAACATCATCTGTGGGAATAAGGTTCTTCTAATAGTACAGATAAAACTGCTTTTTCTTTTCAAAACTGACAGATAACCATTAAAAAATTATGGTCAACTCAGCATCACCACCAAAGCAGCTTCTTCTTGCCGCAGATTATACAGACTGCAAACTACATTCTTTCCCTTCTGGAACATTTATCTCATCTGTCTTCTGCTTTATAGTCCTACTGATTGGCTTATAAAGTAAACTACTCTTATCAGGATAGGTAATGTTTCCATTCATCTACTCATTCAGAAGGTATTTCTTGAACACATTTGCCAATCACTGTGCGAGTGGATTTATATTATTTTAAATAATACTAGCTAATAATAGCTAATACTTCCACAGGGTATGTATTCTTATTCTTATTTTATCCACGAAGACCTAGGGCTCAAATACATTAACCTGTTAGACCAAATGTGATGCCAAAGCTGGTGCTTGTTCCTCTACATCAGGCGTGCTCAAACTACGGCCCGCAGGCCACATGCGGCCTACCGAGGACATTTATCCGGCCTGCCAGGTGTTTTTGCTGCCGCTGCCTGTCCTGTTTAGCAGCCGACTCGTCCCAGGGCCTGCAGTCTGGCCCTCCAGTGGTTTGAGGGACAGTGAACTGGCCCCCTGTTTAAAAAGTTTGAGGACCCCTGCTCTATATCATACAGGACAGAAAAGGGCAGTCGATGTAGTTTTTTTACATTTTACGCTAATACTCCCAGGCCTGTCCAGCTTAGTAAAGGAAATGAGGAAATCTGTTCACTTGTCAAATGTGCTCTTTTGAAAAAAAAAATAATTGAAGTTATACAAATATTTGCCATTTCATTGACTTATGTAATCTAGAGACTAATGAACACAAAATGAATTTTTGCTTTTTAGCTTATTTGTCCTGTCATTAGCAAAAACATTATGACAAATTCCATCTGTAACATAAACAAACCTGAGCTATTTGCAAGTCCAGAAACTGTGAAGCTAGTGCTGAATCTCAGGGCGAGACTGATTTTAACAACTGTCTGCCTCTCTGAATCAGGCCTCTTCTCTGTTTGGTTTCATTTCGAAATCATGAAATGAACGTACCGTCCTAACTTCCAGCCATCTGTTGGCAGCTGAGAGAAATAAGTAGGCTATGTTGTTTGTGTCCGTCAGTTCCAGCATACGTTGTTTAAATCTGGTTTCATGCCTGCAGACAACCAAAATATTATGATGTTAGCCACACAACAGGAGAAGTAATAAAAAACAGTCACACTTACTACTACAGTATTTACTCAACATAGTGATACACTGATGGGATGGGGTGACTGGTAAATAGACTCCTGCTTCGAAATAAAGACCAGCCAGCTGCTACTGCTCTGCAGCATTTCTGGTAGAAATGGTGTGGTCAAAGGTAGCTTTCTTTTTTATATCTGTAGTAGGAAAAGGAGTCCTTCTCATGATGAAGTTTTTTTTAAGATTATTTTATAAGTTTCCAAATAATTATTGTAGTCATAAAAACAGGGAATGGTTTTTACATGGTAGGTTGCAAGGGTCTTACGAAAACCAGAGTTAAGTTGTACAGAAATGCAACACATTCAACCCACTTTTTATGGGTCTATTTTATTTTTCCAAATGATGCAGTTAGACTTGGGAGAGAGGTACAGGATGGGAAACCGGAAAGACAGAAAACTATGCATTTGGAACATGCAATCGGGTATTTTTAAAATTCTATTTTATGTTTTGTTTCTAGGAACCAAAGAATAAAAATTGGGGTGGCAAGAAGTAGGGAAAGGGTCCCGTGGAGAAGGTCCCGTTCTTGTTAAATAAGACATTTAAATTGCCTTATTAGAACTGTTAAATTTTAAACTATTTGCAAGGATGGTCAGTGCATAAAGGGAACTCTTAGTCTGTGGTACTTTTCAGTACTATGATATGTACGTTTAGATAGTGATCCCCAACAGCTTCAGTTCATTCTGGGGGTTCAACATAAACATGCCAAATGTGTAACTTATTTTGTAAGTTGCACTGCTAATAAAAGACTTAGCTACTGGAATATGTGAGCAACTGTCTCAAAGAAACTCATGCTATGTGGTGAAAATCTTTTCTAAACCACAAAGATAATCTCTTTTCATTTTCCAATTATTTTTCCCAAATAACAGACACAATGGAAAGCGAGATAACATATTGAAAATAACCAGTATGAAGACTGAAGACATTGCCAATAAAAATCTGGTTCCCTCACTCTCTGCAGTGATGGCTTGTCTCATATAGACCTCCAATTTATGTGCTATTGTAAGAAATGATGAGATTTCATCTGACAGCATGGCAGTGATTCCCATTTGATGAAAGACTGTTCCAATGCTCCCTCCCACTCATCCCCACCAAATCTTCAAATAAAATGGCAAAATTTTATAATAAACCATTACTTATGTCAAAGAATGAAGTCTTGGGTGGGGCGTTCACTTGGCCTACTGAAGCAGTCCATACAGGCCAATATAAAGCAGATACTTGATATCCATCCAATCAATCTGATCATTCCAATATGGCCAACTAAATAGATAATTCACTTGGACAGCAAGATCTGATATACAACAATCAAAGCTTTGGAAATTAGAGCCAAACAATTATCTAACTGTGAGTTATGTATCCTTGACCTAAATGCCACGCACAGAATGACCTGGCTGAATGGCAATGCACTGGCATGAGACCAACCCATCCAGGGAACATTCTTCCCCTCCAGATGATCCTTTTAGGGATGACTATAGTAACTGAAAGGTGGGGAGGAGGAGGTTATAGGATTATGGGATTTACTGAGCTAGTGGACAAGAACTGTAAAGATATGTATATATGTGTAAGGATTTTTTTTTTTTTTGATACTTGCTAAGTACGTGTTAGGTATGTCCATCAGTTGAGAGGCATTTAACAAGTTCAACTCTAAGTGAGACATTATGCTAGACACTGGGGGTTTCCATATAAACAAGATACAGTCTTCTCTCTTGAGAAGCCTGCAGTCCAGGGAAGGACAGCATCAACAAAGATGGTGCAACACACCCTATAAGGACCCTGTGCACAAAATGCTGCATGAACACAAAGAAAGGCAATGACTTGCACTGACCAGAGAATCAAGGCAGTAGGAAATGGAGTCAGGGTTCAGGAGAGAGGAAGCAAGATTTTACAAAAGATAGGGAAGATGATCTGAGATAGGTTTTAAGAGATGAGCTGATATTTTTAGGAGAACAATGCATTCCAAGTAGCAGGAAAAACAAAAGCAAAGGCACAGACTCAAGAAAGCCCCATATGTGCAGGGGGCTCAAGACGTGTTCCTCTCCTTAGAACACAGTGGAGATGGAGAGGCTGGAGATGACACCAGTTGGATTAAAGTCAGTGGACTACATTTGATATGAATATCAAACACTTGGTTCTGACAAAGGACTTCATCTAAGACTCTTCTGACTCTTCCTTTCATTTTGGGATATTATTTCTGATACACTCTTAAAGAGTTTGTAAATGGAGTTGGCAACAGTTTGAGGCAGCACTGAGAGGGGAGGGGTGAAAATGCAGTGAACATTCTTTCTGCGTGTTTCTATTTGGCAAGAAACCTTCTGTTTTCCTAATGGAAACTTTGACACACTCAGTCTGTATCTTTTCATCCACATCCAGCTCATCTTCTGAACATTCTTAGACCTTTATTCTGTCAGACACACAAAAAAAATAGGAAAGGTCATTGAAATCTCAAATCTAATTTAACTGTGATACTTCGTGGTAAACTACTTGAGGGAGTTGCTTCATGTGAGTACACCACGAACCCTGAATGCAGGGGAGGAAAAGCAGCCTAATCAGTAAATACTAACTTTCCAAAAGAGCTCAAGACTCTGGGGACTCTGGGTAGTTAAAAAAAAAAAAGAAAGAAACAGATGGATGGAAAAGAATGTATTGGACTCTTGACTACAGGTACTAAATGTAAAGATTCTGGAATTTTATTCACAGCACCCAGGTCACCTCCACATTTACAAGACTTATTCTGATTTAAAGAGTGTTGATATTTGTAGTATATATTTATTTTAAAATGAACTCAGGAAGATCTAAACTGGACAAGGACCATGCAGGTACTTCTAGATAGAAGGTGGGTTGTCTTTGGTTTCTTCCAACTTTAATTCAAGCATTGAAGGCTAACAGAATATTTTGTTCTCTGTCCAGCTACCTATAATTTTTCCTAAGTAAAGTTAGCCATAGTAATGCTAAATTTTGCCCATGTGTCTAGTGAAGAAGGTTAATTAAAAATCTTAACCTTGACACCTGGTCAGTTTCCTCTCTCATTTAAAATCTCCCTCCTTCCCATCACAATGCTCTAGTTCAATCCTGTTCCTGTCACTCTCAGATGAACTCACTCTGTCTCTTGGGGCAAAAACAGAGGCTATTATATACTGAACCCATCAACTTCCTGTTGTTTCATCTACCAGCTAGCCTGAATCCATTCACATCCTTTCCTTGGCTTCATAGAGGAGGCATATACCAAATACTATTCAAGATGAGCTGGTCTTTCTATTTGGCACCTGAACAAATTCTTGCTAATCTGCTCTGAAAATTTGTTCCATCAGTTGTCCCATCCTGCTAATATCTCAATGTTTCCCTTCCAATCTTTAAAAATGTCAACCTCATTTTCTTCTTAAAAATAAAAAAGACAAGATATAAGATCATATCAACAGCAAAAAGTGATCGTTGACCTTCTCTTTTCCAATTTGGATACCTGTAATTTCTTTCTCTTGCCTGATTACTCTGGCTTATCACTTCCACCTCTATGTTGAAGAGAAGAGATGATAATAGGAATCATCATCTTATTCCAGTTCTAAGTAGGAATTCTTTCAACTTTTCTCCATTCAATATGAAAAATGTCATATATGGCTTTTATAAAAACATAAAACATATTTTGAGATATGTTTCTTCTATGCCTTGTTTCTTGAAACCCCAAAGATTTCACCAAGAGACTCCTGGAATTGATAAATACATTCAGAAATGTGTCAGGCTACAAAATCTATGTGTACAAATCAGTAGAATTCCTACACACCAACATCAGTCAAGCTGAGAATCAAATCGAAGACTCAATACCTTTCACAATAGCAGCAACAACAATAACAAAAACCTAGGAATATATTTAGCCAAGGAGGTGAAAGACCTCTACAGGGAGAGCTACAAAAACTGAGGAAGGAAATCACAAAGGATATAAACAGATGGAAAAAAACAGCCTGGGTTGGCAGAATCAACATTGTTAAAGTATCTGTACTACCCAAAATGATTTATAGATTCAATGCAATCCCCATTAAAATATTAATTTCATTTTTCACAGGTCTAGAAAAAAATTATACACTTTGTTTGGCATCATAAAAGTCTTCAGAAAGCCAAAACAATCTTAAGCAAAAAAGAACAATTGGGAGGTATCATTTTACCAGCCTTCAAGCTATACAACCAGGCTATAGTAACAAAACAGCATGGTACCAACACAAGAACAGAGATGTAGACCAATGGATCAGAACAGAGAACCCAGACATAAAACCATCCTCATATTGCCGTGTGATCTTTGACAAAGCAGACAGAAACACACTGGGGAAAAGAATCCCCGTAAAATGGAAAATTGTATAGCCACATGTAGATTACTGAAATAGGATCCACACTTCTTATTGCTCACAAAAATTAATTTGCAATGGATAACAGGCTTAAGCCTAAGGAATGAAATAAGAATTCACGTTGGGAAAACGTGAATAGACACTGGCCTAGGAAAAGAATTTATTAAGGAAACCCCAAAAGCAATCACATCAACAACCAAAATAATAAATGAGATTTGATCAAATTAAAAAGCTTCTGCACAGCCAAAGAAACAATCAACAGAGTGAATAGAAAACCTACAAAATGTGAGAAAATGCATGGTATTTGCATATTTAAATCTGATAAAAGTGCCAATAACCTGAATTTACAAAAAATTAAAGCAAATCAGCAAGAAAAGAAAAAAAATCAAACAACCCCACACATAAAACAACATGAACAGAAAGCTTTCAAAAGAAGGAAAAAAACATGAACAGAAGCTTTCAAAAGAAGATATGCACATGGCCAAAAAACACATGAAAAAAATGCTCAACATCACTAATCATTAGGGAAATGCAAATTCAAACCACAATGACATACCACCTTACTCCAGTGAGAATAGCTTTTATC